GCCTCTCACTGTTGTGGCCTCTCCCACTGCGGAGCACAGGCTCCGGACGCGCAGGCCTAGCGGCCATGGCTCACGGGCCCAGCCGCTCCGCGGCATGTGGGATCTTCCCGGACCGGGGCACGAACCCGTGTCCCCTGCATCGGCAGGCGGACTCTCAACCACTGCACCACCAGAGAAGCCCTTAACTCCCTATTCTTCATTCTCTCTTCACGTGATAAACTGTCACCCCCATCCCCACCCTAAGCTACTCTATGCTCTTGTCCTGCTATATTTTGTTCACAGAACTTAACCACTTTTTAAAATTATCTTGTTTAGTCATTATTATCCATCTCCCTCACTGGAATGTAAGCACCAGAAAGGGCAGAATTCTTTTCCGTGTTCTCCAGCTCGAGCGCCTAAAACCCCTATGGCTTTAATTACCATCTATGTGCTACGACTGCCAAATTTATGTTTCCAACCCTTACCACTGGGCTCTAGACTTGTAGATGTAATTGTCTGCTCAACATTTTGAAACACCTGGATATCTTAATGGCTCTGCAAACTCAATAAACCCAAAAGAGAAGTCCATCCTGCCTGCTTGTCCCTCCTCCCACCCCATGGTAAATGGCATTGCTAGCCTTTTAGCAATAAAACCTAGAGACCTAGGAGGATCAGTTGAGTCTGCCCCCTTCCTTACTCCCCATAACTAACCCATCACCAAGCTGGATTGATTGCACCTCTTAATCTCTTCCTTTTCTTCCTTTCCTCTGCCACTTAACTTCCTTTGTCCAGGCTAGATCATCTACACCCCTAGGTCTCACCTAGTCCACTGCATTAGCCCAACTGGTTTCTCATTTGGCATTCACTCCAGTTCCCCACCCCCAATCCATTCTACACACAAGAGCTGAGATATTTTTCAAAACATAAATCTGATGAAGTCATCCTCCAGCCTACAACTTTTCGTGGTTTTCTATTGCTTAGAATAAAACCCTAAATATCCTTATTTCCTACCAGGTTCCCGTGGTCTGCCTTCCACCTGCTCCTCCAAATTTACCTCCCTCTCTTTTCACCTTTGCCCTCTCCACTCAAGCCTCATCAGCTGACCACTATATCCCAGTGCCTAGTACGATGTTTGGCACACTGGGCACCACTGTGAAATGAACGATCCTCATGAGTAACAGAATTTAAGAAACTAGGTATTTTAAAAGCCTGAAATAAAAACAAAAGGATAGATGTAAAATTCCCAATTTAGGGACTTCCCTGGTGGTCCAGTGGGTAACACTCCACGCTCCCAATTCAGGGGGCCCAGGTTCGATCCCCGGTCGGGGACCTAGATCCCACATGCATGCCACAACTAAGAGTTCTCATGACGCAACTAAGAGTCCACATGCTGCAACTAAGAAGTCTGCATGCCGCAACTAAAACATCCCATGTGCCGCAAGTAAGACCCAGCACAGCCTAAATAAATAAATAAATATTTTTAAAATAAATAACCTTGCCCTATATTAGGTTCATTAGGTTTATAAATAAATAAATAAATAAAATTCCCGATTTAGAGATGTTGCTTTAGATAACACTGACAACCAGCTGCAAGTGTCTAGGTGGCCTTTGAAGATTAAGAACCAAAATTTTGGGGACCTCCCTGGTGGCGCAGTGGTTAAGAATCCACCTGCCAATGCAGGGGACACGGGTTCAAGCCCTGGTCTGGGAAGATCCCACATGCCGCGGAGCAACTAAGCCCGTGCGCCACAACTACTGAGCCTGCACTTTAGAGCCCACGAGCCACAACTACTGAAGCCTGTGTGCCTAGAGCCCATGCTCCGCAACAAGAGAAGACCCCACTTGCCGCAACTAGAGAAAGCCCGCGCACAGCAACAAAGACCCAACACAGCCAAATAAATAAATTTACATTAAAAAAAAAAATTTGGAGAAACCTGTGGACTCAGAAGATAAGACTTGCAGACATGCGATTTCCAAGGGGAGTAAAGGTGGGTTAAATCTTGAGGAAATTCCCACCACTTCCTTTTCCAGGAGTGTGAGAAGGAAGGATCGTCAAAGAAAGAGCAGTCAGAAAGGGAGGAGAATCAGTATACTTTAGTTTTCAAAGCAGGAGGGAGGGGTTGTCAAAAATGCTAAATATTTCAATCAGCCAAAAGGGATGACTTAATACAGGAAAAAGGAAAACTACTTGACTCAAAAATCAAAATGATTTAAAGATGTACGTTGGGAAGCTTGTTCCCGGTTACCTGGCCTATCCCGTTCCCTGCGTGTCCACCCCACCCACCTCCACATAGCCTTTATTAGTGATTCTTTATGCAAATAGGCAAACATATTATGGCAAAGGGACTTCTGAATTATTAGAGGAAGTTACTGGTGATCAATGAGAGTGCAGTTTAGAGGAGACGAGAGGGCAGAAGCTGCATCACAGTGCTAAGGAATAAAGAAGGGAGGGGAACAAATGTGTTGAATACAGGAGCCCCAGACACTGAGCTAGGATGTCACCATCTATGTCACCTGCCTTTGCTCCTCACTCTACACCTGCGGGTCATGAGCCGTATTTCACAGGTAAGAAGACCCAAGTGCCAAAAGATTATAAGTAATCGCCCAAGTCACACAGCTAGTAACATCAATGCCAGTTGGTGAAGAGGCGGCCAGAAAGAGCTTTTGTGTTAAGGGGGTAACAGCAAGTGAAGGTGTTTCTATAGTGGAAGAGATATGTGCATTTAAAAAAAAAAAAGAAGGGAGGCAGAACTGGACAGATTCGATAAAATAATTGAAAGAGAAAGATCCTTTCCTGAACGAAGAGATTGGAGACAGAAACTCCTATTGGAGGAGGAAAAGTAACAGCAAAGTACAGCAGAGCCGGGAGAGAGGCTGGAAAACTGAGGAGACAGTAGTTTGCAGTAGTCACCGTGGAAAGCAAGGAGAATAAACTCATCACAGCACAGCAATGACAGCCCTGGAAGTTGCAGGGAGTAGTCGTCTTCTTTCCAGAATTGTCTGCCCTCATCCCCAAAAGCAACCCTCTGCAGCTCCAGAGGGAGGTAGAAGATGTGGGTGAGAAGCCCAGGTAGCTGATGGGCTTCTCTGATGGCCACAGTATTCTGGGATTGGTGCTGCGGTCCATTCTGACAATTCTGAAGCCCAGGTGGAGACATGAAGGATCTATGGCATGAGGACACTGAAGGATGTGAGAGGCTGGGGGAAGAGGAACGGCAATGTCAGGATCTAACTTGTATCTTGGCGACTGTGGGCCTTGTTTCCCTTTGTGCGCTAGGCTCCTTTGGGCAGCATTCATTCACCAAGCGAACATTTACTGAGCACCTACACTACGTTAGGTCCTGTGCGGGATCCACCTGCCAGGGATACAGGGGACCAAGGCAGGCATGATCTCCACCTGCACCGAGTTTGCCATTGATGGGAAAGGCCAACAACACTGAACTCTGGTGAGAGTTATGAGAAACCTATATGAAATCCCAGAGGTGGGGAGGGAGAACACTTACAGGGGTGGTCCATGAGTTTTTGAGTAAATCGTGAAAATTTTAAAGCAGGAATGGAAAGGTGACAGGAAAAAAAGTTATTGTCAAAGACAAGATCTTGGAAGTCTTGAGATCTAATCAGCAGCTTTTAATATTCCTGAAGTATTATGGTTACTGGGAAAGGGGCCATTCACCTCAGCAAACAAGCTGAGAATTCAAAATGGACCTCCCTTCATAGTGAGACACTCAGAAACAGGTAATTTCAAAGCAGTATAGGACCTGCTACTGTAGCACAAAGGAAAGAGTACCTTTGAAGCTGGTAAGAACCAGGAGCCTGGAGCCTATCCCCCTGCACTTAACTCCTAGCTCTTGCGCTTCTACATGAGCAATCTCAAGACACTCAACCTACCCATGCCTTCGCTTTGTCATCTGCAAAATGGGGATCATAATAATGGCGAGCATTTACTGAGCACTTACTCTGCACTGGAGAGTAGTATATTATTTCATTTAATAGTACCTTAACAACTCAGGATCCTCACATGGGTGTAATGAGGATCCCATGTGTAAGGCACTCAGGACAGTGCCTGATGCCTAGTGAAACTTACATAAACGTTAGTGGTTTTATTATTACTGGCCAACCAGAGGGAAGAGTGGGACCATCTGGGCCTTACGTAAGACGCAGTGACAGAGAGAGGTGTTCCAGGACGGGGGAATGCCTTCACCAAGCCAGTGGTGTGACCCGGCACGGTGTATGCTGGGAACTACACAGCGTAATGGCTCAGAGTCAGAATCTGAAGTCGGGCGGCTCCATTTATTAGCTGGGTGACCGTGAGCAAGTCATCAGCGTCTATGAGTCTCAGTTCCAGCGCTTGCTGAAATCCATTTTTACTGCACTTTCGCGCAAGGGGCTCACTTGGCCCTCAATAAATGCCGATTTCCCTTGGGCATCTTCCTTTCTCCTCAGAACCGCGCTGGGGGCCAGGCAGGCGGTAGAAGCGTGGGAGGGATTAGGCGACAATATAATAGCAAACACAGAGGGCTTTCTAAGTGAACCAGACATCGATCTGATGATACCCAATCCTCACAGGAATCTTAAAGGCGGGTCTTAATGTACCTTTTTTCAGATGGGGAGACTGAGACGCAGAACTGCTGAGTAACTTATGAAGCGCTAATCACGTTTCTGGTAAACCAAGAGAAACTCCTTAACCCTCAGCAGCCAACCGCCGAAACTGAACAACCTTGAGGGCTCGGGTCTCCCGGAACCCCGGGGGCGGGACCAAGCGGAGGGTGTTCCGCCCCCGGACTTCCGCTTCCGTCCTCGGGTCCCTGTCTGGCCTCGGCTGGGTCGTGTGTTCGGGATGGCGACGGGGGGCGACGGTGACGGGCGGGAGGCGGCCTGCGGGCACGACAGCTACCGCTCGCCGCTTGCCTCCCGTTATGCCAGCCCGGAGATGTGCTTCGTGTTTAGCGACAGGTACAAATTCCGGACCTGGCGGCAGCTCTGGCTGTGGCTGGCGGAAGCCGAGCAGGTAAAGCTCCGGAGCTGTAGGCGGGCCCGGCCCCGCACGTGCCGGGTTGGGTGCCGAGCGCCGGCTGAGACTCCGGAGGCAGCCTCTCCGTTATTCCAGAGGAGCAGAGGCCCCAGGAAGCCCAGGGCAGGAGACCCGGAAGCCGCCACCCGTTGCCTCACGTGTTTTAATCGTCGAGGGTTCGAGGCGCACAGGGGGCGGCAAGAAGTGCAGTTACCTGTTTCAGGGAGTATCTTGGCGGTTCCTGCAAGAGTACGTAGCCGAGCGCTCGTTCCGTGCCGTTGTGCTCGTTTCTGTACATGTCTTTCCCCCGTTAACCCGTAAAGACTTTGCAAGCTAGGTGGTGGTTTTCCCACATGGTAGGGAAGAAGACCAAGCCTCGATGATGCCCAGCGCGTTATTTGCTCCTAACCATTGATAGCGGAACCCGGGTGTGAACCCGTGTCCCGTGCAGAGCCTGACTGAGCGCTCAGCCACCTCGCCCTCCACAGTGCCTCAGTGTTGTCTGAGACCGGACCGTCACTACAAAATCCATGTTTCCTGGGCCACCGTTTCCGCTCCACTCTGCTGCCGTCTGCCTCTGGGGAGGGAGAATCGGGGTTATTAGATGAGATGTATGGGTTCTCTTATAAGAGCTGCATGTAGACCTATTTAGCCCAACGATTTCAGAAATAGCTACAGACGGGCCTTTGCAGAGGAGCTGAAGGAAACTGAAGGTGATCCACAGAGCTGTAAAGTTTCAGAGGAAAATGCCACAACAAGCAAGATGGCAGTACCCAAATGACATTTAGTAAACCTGGAAACAATCTTGAGTACGTGCCTAGGACCGAGGTACACGGTCCCCAAACAGGAAACTTTCTTCTTAGATTTTACCCCCTTCCTATCACTATGCTCAGGAAAATAAAGTAGTACATAACACTAGCAGACAGAATGCTCTGTGATGGCCTGTATGGAAAAGAATCTAAAAAAGAGAGATATATGTATATGTATAACTGATTCACTTTGGTGTACACCTGAAACTAGCACAACATCGTAAATCAACTATATTCCAATTTTTAAAAAAAAGTAGACAGTTCTACAGTGCCTGCTATGTGTGTGCCTGGCAGTTTGAAGATTAAAAATTAATAGTTTACTAATCCTCAAAACAATTCTTTACAATAAGTAACTTATTCCTGTTTTACAGAGGATAGAATGGAGGCACAGAGAGATTTCGTAAACTGTGGGCTCAGATAACAATAACAGATAGTAGACGAGCATTAAGTGTGTTGTGGTTTGTTATGTACTAGCATGTACTCTGTTTTCTGTTTTACTTGGTACTCCATGTAGATAAGGGTGGTGGCACTCTTAAGATTTTGCCACTCAACATAGCTAGTAAAAGCTTCAAGCTGGGATTGAAATGTAGAGTCTGAATATGTGTCCTTTCCTCTGCCCAGTCTATATATACATTGCCTGAAATGCATACAATTTTGATATCTCCTGAGTTTGGATTATCTATTAGCTAGGTTGTCAAAATTAACAGCATAAATTACATCATAATTCAGTAGTTAAAAAAAAAAACTTGAGCGATGAGAGATTAGGAGAAGTGCTGAAAATTAGGAGTAGGGAATAAATTTTGAGAAGACACATTGCTTGGGGATAGGAAGCATTTTGGCCACGCTGCCCCCTGCTGCTTTGCTTTGGGAGAAGCCCTGAGATGTCATGTCTGATGACTAAAAATCCAAGGCAGATTGGCCAGATGTGGCTAGTGTGACTGAGGAATTGAATTTTTACTTTCCTTTTTTTTTTTTGGCTGGGCTGAGCGGCATGTGGGATCTTAGTTCCCCGACCAGGGATCGAACCTGTGCCCCCTACAGTGGGAGCTCCGATACTTTTAAATTTTTACTAGTTTAAATGTAAATAGCCACATCTGACTAGTAGCTACCATCTTGGACAAGGTAGGTCTTAAGATGTGAGCCCCTTCCCAGGGCCAGGCCTTGGGGCTTTCAAGTGAGGTTTGGATAAATTTCACCAATGTACATATTCAATACTTGGCTCCAGGGTTCTGAGCTGCCTGTGGGCTGCCAGCTATTTTTTGTCAGCCTGATTTTTTCAGTGATAGATGAACGTAAGATGTTGATGTGTTTATTTTCTCATTTGTATCTCCCGGAATTGCTTGCTTTTTTTTTTTTTTAATTTATTTATTTTTATTTTTGGCTGCGTTGGGTCTTTGTTGCTGTGCGCAGGCTTTCTCTAGTTGCGGCGAGCAAGGGCTACTTTTTGTTGTGCACGGGCTCTAGGCACGTGAGCTTCAGTAGTTGTGGCACTCAGGCTCAGTAGTTGTGGCGCACGGGCTTAGTTGTTCTGCGGCATGTGGGATCTTCCTGGACCAGGGCTCGAACCTGTGTTCGCTGCATTGGCAGGCAGATTCTTAACTGCTGCGCCACCAGGGAAGCCCCGGAATTGCTTTCAGTGGCACTGAATTTTCTGCACATAATTTGTTGGCAAAGATACTAATAGCATTCCTAATTTTGGTTTCTCTGGCTAAATCCATCTAGATCAAATGTAAAGCTGTGGCCTGGATGCTACACTTTGGGCACTTATGTGCCAAGCACTAAAGAGTAAGCAATAAATACCACAAAGCTCTTCTCTCAGAGAGTGTATATACATTCTAGAGGGGAGAGACAGGCTAATAGATTTGTAAAAATGTCATGTGGTGATAAGTGCTCTAAATAAAACCAGGCTAGGACTTCCCTGGTGGCGCAGTAGTTAAGAATCCACCTGCCAATGCAGGGGACATGGGTTCAAGCCCTGGTCCGGGAAGATCCCACATGCCGTGGAGCAACTAAGCCTGTGCGCCACAACTACTGAGCCTGCGCTGTAGAGCCCACGAGCCACAACTACTGAGCCCATGTGCCACAACTACTGAAGCCCACGCGCCTAGAGCCCGTGCTCCACAACAAAGAGTAGCCCCCACTCGCCACAACTAGAGAAAGCCCACATGTAGCAGCGAAGACCCAACACAGCCAAAAATAAATTAATTAAATAAATTAAAAAGAAACAGCCTAAAGGGATAGATAGAGAGTGCACAAAAGAAGGGTATTTCACATGGAAGTCGGGAAAGACCCCTCTGAGGAGATGGCGTTTGAGCCCAGAGACCAGACCTGTGAGGGAGTGAGCAGAGACGTAGGGACAGAGGGAACAAAAATCAGGATTGCATTGTTTTATATATTGGAGTGCCCTTAGAATATAATTTACCATGATTCATTTAGAAAGTTGTCTCCTTCTCCCCATGTCCTTTTAGTTTAGTTGCCCCAATTTTAGTTTAAGAATTGGAAGGTAGGGCATAAATGCTTAACATGAACCAATTTTTTTTTCAGTGTCACTTCAATTCAAATAATTGTGCTACAAGAAGTTATTTTATTTTATTTTGCCTGTTCTGCAGACATTGGGTTTGCCTATCACAGATGAACAAATCCAGGAGATGAAATCAAACCTGGACAACATCGACTTCAAGATGGCAGCTGAGGAAGAGAAGCAGTTACGACATGATGTGATGGCTCATGTGCACACGTTTGCCCACTGCTGCCCCAAAGCTGCTGGCATTATTCATCTTGGTGCCACCTCCTGCTATGTTGGAGACAATACAGTAGGAGCCCATGATGTTGTTTTGTTTCCACTTAGACTCAATGTTTATAATGCATTTATAAATTTTCTTTGATTTTGTCCATTTTAGGAAGCGACTCCATAGATCTTAGGATCTCAGTGCTCAGGAATTTTCTGCTTTTGGTATCCTTCCAATCTAAACTATAAGCCCCTAATGACGTCCATAAAATGAGACGTATAGATACTGCCTGTGCATTGGTATGCTGGACGTAAGCCGAGATCTTAGCATTTTAGTGGCTAAAGTAGTTTTCCAAAGGGATTTCCTTTCCAAAGTCCTTTTTACTCTTTGCCAAGACTTCTGAAAAAAAGAAATAATTACATTATAATTCTTAAATCCTTTAATTAGCAAAAGTGTCTCATAGTCAAACACGAGAAAGTGACAGCAAACATTTTCCTAAGTTTACTAGGTGCCCAGCACTATTCTGAGCACTTTCTATGTATTACTTCATTTTTTCTTCACAAAAGGCATAAGAGATAGATTCTGTTATCTCCATTTTTAAATAGCTTTATTGAGGTATAATTTAATACCATAAGTTTACCCATTTTAAAGGTACAGTTCAGTGAGCTTTAGTAAATTTATGCAATCATTCAGCCTCACCACACTCCAGTTTTTGAGCATATCCCTCACGCCAAGAAGTTCTATTTTGCTTGTTTTACAGTCAATCTCCACTCCTGCTTCCAGTTTCAAACAACCACTGACCTGCTTTCTGTGTCTATAGTTGTGCCTTTTCTCGAAATTTCATATAAATGGATTCAGAATATGTAGTCTTTGGCTTTGGCTTTATTTTCCCCATTGCCACAGATGAGGAAGTGTAGAAGTTGAAGAACTTGCTCTAGGTTTTGCAGCTGGAAAGGATTCAGGCCTGGGTAGAGTGGCTCCAAAGCTCTGCCCTTATTGCAGGGCACCCGTGGGACTAAAAGTTAGAATCCAGATACACTTGCAGTTCAGAAAGAAGCCATAATTTCTAAGTTGCCCCAAGTAACATTTTTTGTCTAATGTGGTACGTAATTAAAGGCATCGATGTGTAATTGGTGAATCAGATAATGGGAGAACAACAGTTCTCTAACTTGGAGTATCCTTTTAAAATGACCCAGCATGTAGTTGGGCTCAACAATTACTGTCTCATAAACATGTGTTGGAGTTGCCTGCAACACTTATATCTCCTAAACCCCCAGGAACAGCTTTAAATTTCCTAAACCTAGATCTTGTAGTTCATGACTTTTTTTTGTTAGCAATGATTGACATGAAAAAAAGGGAGTGGAAACTAATGAGATGTGCCTTATGGATTTTTTTTTTTTTTTTTTTAACCCCTATGTATTCTTCTCAGAAACTCAAACACTAATCTTCGGGAAGGTATAAACCCTGTTGACCTGGACATCTTTGCCGTATTCACGATGGGGCATACCCCTTATCATTTTCCCGTTTCATTAGATACCACATAAATAGGGCTTTGTAAGTATAAAGCCTTTGTGCTTTTAGATTCCTTTGTGCTCTCTAAGTTGGTGTGCTTTTAAAACAGTAATCAGGAGAATTTCTGTCAGCATCTTCTGGCTTGCACAGTGTGTTGCTGAAAGTGAGATAGGCAACTAGGTTAGAAACCCAGTTGTGATGGCCAGAAAGTGTCATGTCATAATGTTGTTTGGGCAAAGCCGATTAATGTAAGATCACTGCATTTCCCTTGCAGGACTTGATTATTCTTAGAAATGCATTTGACCTGCTTTTGCCAAAGGTAAGAAGTTGACAGAAGTTTCTTACCAGTCCTAAGATTCCCTGTGACCGGAGATGGGCACCATGACGTAAAGCAGCACAATGTAAATCTAAATAAGTTATTGTTTACTCAGATGAATGATCCTCGATGTAACCTGTATAACTAATTATCTCTTCTTGAGCTAAATCACTATATAAGTTAATGCTTTTTAAAGCATAGCCTTTTAGTAAACAAAGTGTAACCAGCAGCACGTGGCTGGAATATGTGGGTCAGATTTATGATTTTGTCCTGTTTTTCTTCATGAACGTGCCAGTGGTGGTAAAACTGTGCAGAAATAATTCGTGACATTTTAGGTAGTCAACTCAGTTTCTGAATGTTGGTTAGTATGAACTCTTCAAGGCACTTTAAGATACAAAGATGAAAAAATATGGCTTCTGCCTTCTGTGAGCTGGAGGTGTAATTGTCTATGAAATTGTCTCCAAGTTTAGTTCCTGTTTATGCAAGTGCTCAGCCTGAATTCACTCTTTCTCACACATGGTCTTCCTTGCAGCTTGCCAGGGTGATCTCTCGGCTTGCCGACTTTGCCAAGGAACGAGCTGATCTTCCCACCTTAGGTTTCACACATTTCCAGTAAGTGAGAGGGTTACCTCTTGGGAATTGGGCTTGTTTATGTGCATCCAGCTTCCATGTATTCCTTCAGTTCTCCCTTCTGCATGGTAACCTGGAGGTGAGAAATCTCAAAACATAAGCACTTGGGGTGCCTGTGAGGAATGAACCTTATACCTACCTTAAAAGCTATACTGCTTAGAGAGTAAATCTAGTGGTTCGTTTCACTAGAAAATATGTATACAGAAAGCATTCTTTTTTTTTTTTTTTTTTCCTTAATTTAATAATCTAACACTTCTGGTATCTCCTTTGCCTACAGGGAGATCTTTTAGGGGTTAAGGAGGAGGTTGGAGAGCAGATCCTGTTTAGGTCACAGGGCCTAATCCCTCCTTTCCCACTCCAGGAATCCAATGCTGGTTAGTAGAGTCAGCCCAGATGGTTTTGCAGGTTAGGACAGTAGACAGCTAGTTGGGGTAACTATGAAGGACCAGAGTTTTAGATGGGTACCTTCCTGTGGCGTGAGCAGGAGGGAAGGAGGGGCTCTCCCAGTTTAGGCCCCAGGAAGGGGGAGCCTCTGATTGCTCCCTTCTTGGATCTGTTTCCACTCTGCCTCTCAAGAAAGTATTCTTGATTCAGTGATTCCATTCTTTTTTTTTTTTTTGCGGTACGCGGGCCTGTCACTGTTGTGGCCTCTCCCGTTACGGAGCACAGGCTTCGGATCCACAGGCTCAGCGGCCATGGCTCACGGGCCCAGCTGCTTCGCGGCATGTGGGATCTTCCCGGACCGGGGCACGAACCTGTGTCCCCTGCATCGGCAGGCGGACTCTCAACCACTGTGCCACCAGGGAAGCCCTGCCTTATGTTTTAATGGGGTGTTGCTGTGGCAACAAGGGTATCATCCCCTGTAACTTAGGAAAGCCTATTGAATTTAATCTTCCTTAAAATTAGAGCCTTCATTATTAGTAGCAGACACCAGAAGGATTTGTTCCTGTGAAGGAGTCAGTGCTCAGTGTGTATGGCTGGGCCATGACAAATACTGCGTTCTGTGCTGGCTCCATACACACCTAGCGTCACCTGTGCTGCAGCTCCTCTTCTCCTGTAACTATTGGAGAGTGCTCAGGGAATGCAGGCATTCCAGTATTCCTCTGGGGATGGATTCATGAGAGGTACCTGCTGCCACAGTTAGCAGCCGTTAGAAACTCAGAAAATGGTATTGATGTGTAGATATGACCTCAGAATGGGTGAGTCCCTGCAATTGAAAAGAAACAGCTTTATTGAGATATAACTGACATACCATAAAATTCATCCATTTGAAGTATACAGTTCAGTGGTTTTTTGTATATTTACAGAGTTCATGCAGTCATTACCAGTATATAATTTCAGAATATTTCCATCACCGCCCCCCAGAAGACCTGTACCCATTAGCATTCCCTCCCATTCCCCCATTCCCCCCATTCGCTAGCTCCTGGCAACCACAAATGTGTTTTCTGTCTATGGATTTGTCTCTTTTAGACACTTCGTTTAAGTCAAATCATATAATATTCATCTTCTTGTGACTGGCTTCTTTTCACTTACCATAGTGTTTTCAGTGTTTATCCATGTAGCATGTGTCAGTACTTAATTTATTTTTACATTATCTATTCACCAGTTGCTGGACATTTGGCTTGTTTCCACTCTGTTGCTATTATGTATAATGCTCCTATGAATAGGTCCATGCAAATGTATTTTTTTCTTTGCTTGTACCAATAATCTAGTAGCAGAAGTTAACAAGGAAAACTACCATAAGGTTGATTTGGGAATATGTGTCCTAACTTTTGATGTGTATGCTATAGACATTCCTAGTGGGGTGCCTTGATGTCGCCAGCTGTCAGTATCATTAGCCTAATAGAAGAGAAATTCCATATGGAGTAGGCTAGGTCATCTAATAGAACTCTGACTTTATTGCAGTTTACTCATAATTATGTTTTATGTTATAAACAGACCTGCAATAGATTGATTTAGACCTCAGACTGACGACAAAGCCATTAGCTATTATGTTAGAGTCCTCTGGTTGTGTGTGTTTTGGGGTTATTCTCCACAGTTTGACTGGGCTCTTCATTGGATCTTTTTTGTTGTTGTTGTTGTTGTTGTTTTATTTTTTTTAATTTTTGGCTGTGTTGGGTCTTTGTTGCTGCATGCGGGCTTTCTCTAGTTGCAGTGAGCAGGGGCTACTCTTCGTTGCGATGCGTGGGCTTCTCATTGCGGTGGCTTCTCTCTCTGTGGAGCACAGGCTGTAGGCCTGCGGGCTCCAGTAGTTGCGGTGCATGGGCTCAGTAGTTGTGGCTTGTGAGCTCCAGAGCCCAGTCTCGGTAGTTGTGGCACACAGGCTTAGTTGCTCCGTGGCATGTGGGATCCTCCCAGACCAGGGCTCAAACCCATGTCCCCTGCGTTGGCAGGCGGAGTCTTAACCACTGCGCCACCAGGGAAGTCCCTCTTCGTCGGATCTGGACTCTTTACAGAGCCCTTTCTTTACTGTCAGTCTAGAGTCACAATCTCCAGTATCGTCATCCTTGTTTTATTTTTATTTTTATTTATTTATTTTTTTTTTGCGGTACGCGGGCCTCTCACTGTTGTGGCCTCTCCTGCTGCGGAACACAGGCTCCGGACGCGCAGGCTCAGCGGCCATGGCTCACGGACCTAGGCACTCCGCGGCATGTGAGATCTTCCCGTGTCCCCTGCATCAGCAGGTGGACTCTAAACCACTGTGCCACCAGGGAAGCCCCTTGTTTTATTTTTTGATAGCATTTTAAAAATGAACAGTTATCTTGTTTGTTTACTTGTTTACATGATAATATGAGCTCCACTTGTCTGTTTTGTTCTTTGTTGTATTTCCAATACCAAGAACACGTTAGATGCTTGGCAAATGTTTGTTACGTGTGTATTTCTTGCCAAGGCCTGGGGACAAACAAAACAGACATTGTCTCTGCCCTTATAGTGCCTCTTGATTGTGAAGAAAGAACTATGCTAGTAGCCCTTTAGTTCTATAACCTTTGAATATTTATAAATGACATTGAATTTGCTTAACTTATTTGCTTAAACTTTTTAGCTCTTGTTTTGTCTTCACTGGTTTCTCTGTCTCTTACTTTAATTCTTGCCCTTCCCAGAGGTAGCAGTGATTATTAGAAGAAGCAATGAAGGTTTTATGAAATAAGTCACTGGTTTGAGACCTCTCTGTGTTCTCTTTGGGTTGTTTTCAGGCCTGCTCAGCTGACCACAGTTGGGAAACGTTGCTGTCTTTGGATTCAAGATCTTTGCATGGATCTCCAGAACTTGAAGCGTGTCCGAGATGACCTGCGCTTCCGAGGAGTGAAGGGCACCACTGGCACCCAGGCCAGCTTCCTGCAGCTCTTCGAGGGAGATGACCAAAAGGTATTCTGAAAGTGACCTGGGTGATACAAACTCAACTGTAGGAGCACCAGAGACAAAGCTGACCTCCAGGATGGTAGGAGCGATTGAACCTGGAATGGGTGGAGTCTGGACTGGAAGCGGGTAGTGAAGGCCAAAACCTGGGCAGGATGACTTGTCAAGATATTCTCCTACTAGACACACCTGAATTTCTATAGGGATGTCTTTTCTTTCCAAGGTAGAGCAGCTTGACAAGATGGTGACAGAAAAGGCAGGATTTAAGAGGTAGGTAAGTGGGAAAAGTGTTGGCCTCCTTGTTAAGTAATGAAAGATACTATTCCTCTAGATTTGACCTTAAATTTTTTTGTTGTTTTTTTAAATTCTTTCTCTGTCCTTCCACCCATTTCCTTCCATCTCTAGCCTGGGTTTTATTCTTATAGTCTGGATTCTATTATATTTCTTATAATTTATAAGAAAAAAGGAAGCTGTTTAGTTCTGAGTTCAGTAGAGTAGCCTTACCCGTGTTGTTGCTGTTTTGTGTTTTACTGAGGACCTCCGATGGGTTGGTCTCAGTCTGGCTATTTGCATCGAGGGCTACAGGCTCCCCCATGGCTCCTTGTTTCAGGCACTTCACTGGGCTGCAGCAGGACAGAGGCTCGCTGGACCGTGTTTCCTCCTGGGGTCAGGGCGGCTGTCTGGGTATCAGTAAAAAGGGTGGAAGAGCAGTTTGTTCCTGGAGCCACATATCAGCGAGGTCCTGGGCTCAGTGTGACTTAGCGCTCCAGTGGCACCAAGCTTTCGCTCAGTCTGTTTTTGCTCATTTGTTTGACACAGTCACATTTTGGAATATTTTCACGTGAGGCTCTTTTCTATTCATTACTAGGGCTTTCATCATCACAGGGCAGACCTATACACGAAAAATAGATATTGAGGTGCTGTCCGTGCTGGCCGGCTTGGGGGCATCGGTGCACAAGGTGAGTGGTGGTAATAATGGGAGTGTTGGACGCCACAGATAGACCTGCCCAGCCTCACTTCAACTTCATTGTGGCTTTTGAGAGATGTCAGATATCACTCATAGCAATTTGGGGCTGGTCAGTGAAGCCTCTTAAGTTAAGGTGTGTTAAAAGGAAGGACTAGTTTCCATGTTCTCATTAAGTTCATCTTACCATTGTCTGTCCGTGATAATCCTACGCAGTGTTTCACCAGAACATTCCCGTGCTCCCCGAATGCCAGCTCTTCAGGAGCTGAGAGGAGTCTCCCTCGGGGAGGACATGCTGCGCTTCAGCTCGGCGGGCTCCCAAAGAGCTCACCTCCTCCATCAGTCCAGTCCCTGCCCCAGACCCCACATACTAAGAGTGTGAGTGATGCCTGTGCCCCTGCTTTTCCCCAGATTTGTACTGACATACGACTCCTGGCAAGCCTCAAGGAGCTGGAGGAACCCTTTGAAAAACAGCAGATTGGTGAGTGTTGTGTGGAGACCTGGGAACACCGCGAGATGCCAGGAGGTCCGCGGGCGCGTGTAAGCAGTTCCGCCAGGAGCGTGCTCGGCCGTCCACTGTCCCCTGAGGTCTTCCTGCCTTTGCTTCTTCTCCTTTACACGGACAGGCTCAAGTGCAATGCCGTACAAGCGGAACCCTATGCGCTCGGAGCGGTGCTGCAGCCTGGCCCGTCACCTAATGACCCTTGTCATGGACCCGCTGCAGACAGCATCTGTGCAGTGGTTTGAACGCACACTGGATGACAGTGCCAACCGGTCAGTGGAACGGGGATGTCACATACAGCAAGTTGTGGGAGGACCAAGAGGGGCCTGGAAGCATCAGGACTTCATGAGCATCTCTGTATTCCCTCCTTGTCCCTGAGGAGCCTGGAGTCTAATAGGGAGGCAAGAACATAGAAGGAACAGTGTGATATGTGTTCGAATCAAAATATATACAGAGTAATCCTTGTGGGGGCAAAGCGGAGGGAGGGGTGGTGGAGGAGTTGAGGGAAGCTTCACAGAGGTGATGCTTTAGACTTAAGAAATCTAGGCATTTTTTAACATTTGAGACAAGATTGGGAGCACGTATAAAGGCACAGAGCAGGAGAAAGAACAGTTGGGGGAGTTACTACTAGTCGGGTAGCCCTGGAGAATGAAGTCTGTAGCAGGAGATGAGGTTGGACGTGCTCTTGGGTAGCAGCCAGTTTATGAAGGGCCTTCTAGGCCCTGAAAAGGAGTTCAGATGTTGCTCGCTCTTTTTCTTTTTAAGTCTTTATTGAACTTGTTACAATATTGCTTCTGGTTTTATGTTTTTTGTGGGTTTATTTTTGGCTGTGAGGCATGTGGGATCCCAGCCCCCCGACCGAGGATGGAACCCGCACCCCCCGCATTGAAGGCGAAGTCCTAACCGCTGGACCTCTAGGGGAGTCCCAAAGATACTGTTCTGAAGGCAGGGGGATGTCAGGTGTGGTGTCTTGACACAGCAACATCTTAATTAGTTATGAGATGGGTCAGGAGTAATTTGTAGTTACTAATAAGGTACCAGCATGCACGTGATTTTCTGCTTTGTGTATATACTTATTAATATTCAAAAGCAGATTCATTACCCTAGTTTGCTTGTATTCTGCTGGAATTTCTTGAGAGGAATTGATCAGAGTTAAAGCTAGGTCTCTGGGGTGTGTGCATATTCCAGGGTTTATGGGAATAAAACGTGAACTCATTCGGAAGTCAGCCATTGACTGTTTTTTAGCAGGCTGTGACCTAATCAGATGTGCACGCTAAAATACCCTGCACCAATTTGGAGAATCAGTTGTAAGGGGACAGGGAGCTGATCAGAACAAGTTAGGAGGCTACTTTAAAAATCCAAGTCCAGGGGCTTCCCTGGTGGTGCAGTGGTTAAGAATCCGCCTGCCAATGCAGGGGACACGGGTTCGTGCCCTGGTCCGGAAAAATCCCACATGCTGTGGAGCAACTAAGCCTGTGAGCCACAACTACGGAGGCTGTGCTCTAGAGCCTGCGAGCCACAACTGCTGAAACCCACACGCCTAGAGCCTGTGCTCCACAGCAAGAGAAACCAATGCAATGAGAAGCCCGCACACTGCATCGAAGAGTAGCCCCTGCTCGCTGCAACTAGAGAAAGCCCACGCACAGCAACAAAGACCCAACTCAGCCGAAATTAAATAAATAAATAAATAAATTTATTTTTAAAAAAAACGAATCCAGGTTCTTCCCTGGTAGGTCCAGTGGTTAAAACTTCACCTTCCAATGCAGGGTGTGCGGGTTTGATCCCTGGTCTGGGAGCTAAGACCCCACATGCCTCACGGCCAAAACACCAAAACAAAACAGAAGCAATATTGTAACAAAGACTCTAAAGTCTTCAGTAAAGACTTTAAAAAACGGTCCACATGAAATAAAAATCTTTAAAAAACAAAATCCGAGTACACACTGGCACAGTGGCCATGTAACTGGAGAGGATGTGGATATGAAATCGATGTCGGGTGGGCTGGCCTTGGCGGTTGACTGGAGTGAGAGTTAAGATGGTGACGGGGTGCTGGTGCCATTTCCCTTGTCAGGAGCTACAGGGAGAGGAGGCGTGGGGTGAGGTGGTGAGCAGCAGGCAGTGGAAAAGTGGCTGAATGCAGTTCTGGGTCTGGGGAACCTACAGATCAGCCAGGTGGAGCTCTCCAAATGGGTATGTGGTCTGGCGCTTGGGCAAGTGGTCTTAGTCAAGAGATGGTAGATTTTTTTTTTTTTTTTTTTTTACGCGGGCCTCTCACTGTTGTGGCCTCTCCCGTTGCGGAGCACAGGCTCCGGACGCACAAGCTCAGCGGCCATGGCTCACAGGCCCAGCCGCTCCGCGGCATGTGGGATCCTCCCGGACCGGGGCACGAACCCGTGTCCCCTGCATCGGCAGGCGGACTCTCAACAACTGCGCCACCAGGGAAGCCCCAAGAGGTGGTAGATTTGAGGGTCATTAGGATATTGGGGTAGTTGAAGGAAATTGTCCAAGTAGCACATCTGGCGTGAGAAATCAGTAGCAATCAGGGCAGCTTCTCGGGACACACCCTCCATTTCATGGAAATCGTTATTTGCTTGAAGCGATAACTGAATTGGCTGTTTGTTTTCTAGACGAATGTGTTTGGCCGAGGCATTTCTCACTGCAGATACGATACTGAATACGCTGCAGAACATTTCTGAAGGCTTGGTGGTGTACCCCAGAGTAAGAGGCCTCCGTGAAAAAGCACAGTATGAGGGAGGGGTTGGAATGTGGCGGGGTGGGTGGCCTTCTGCTCTGGAGTGAGCGTGTTGGAGGAGCTGGATTCTGGTCCAGTAGGAGCTCTTCCCCAGCAGAGCTCACTCTTCAGGTTGTGGCATAAGCTCTAGGGAACTAGGTCTGTGGGATTCATAGACATGTTTATAGAAGAGGGAAAAAGAAGTGCTTCGAATTGGCTTAAAATTGTCCACCGGCGAGTCACCAGCTCTGCTGCGACGGGCAGAGCAGACTACTCCATTGGTCTGTCTGTGAGTACCTGAGGCAGGTGGGTTTGTTCCCATGCTGTACTTGGCTCCTAAAGTCAGGCACTGAAATTGAGCAGACTTGAGGTTTTAGGAATCATTCTGATGAAGCAACTTTGAAAAGTTTACTCAAGTCAATATTCCTTTTTAAAATCAAAATAATACTCTGGATTATGAGAAAACTGAAAAATAACAGTGTAGCATAAGACAATCCATTCTACCCTCTTTCTTCATAGATATGGTAGTTCGTGTCCCTGCTGTGTATTCTTTTGGTCATAGCTGATGTCCTGCTGTGTGTATGACCTTGTAACCTGAGGCATCCTTCTTGGTGCTTCACTCGTACAGGTAATTGAGCGGCGCATTCGGCAAGAGCTGCCTTTCATGGCCACAGAGAACATCATTATGGCCATGGTGAAAGCTGGAGGTAACCGCCAGGTTTGTAACCCCTCATGCTCCTGGGTAAACAAAGTACACCTTAAGTCCTGCTTTCTCCTTCCCAAAGAAGGATGGACGAAGCTGTCTCTGTTATTACCTTCAGTCATGGTATTGGTGCAGAACAGTGACCATATGCTGCCCTAGAACAGGCTTATCTTTGGAGGGTGATGGCGGTGAACTCAGTTTATTAAAAAGTGAATTGCTTAATCACTTGTAGAAAAGGTCCACTTTCAGTGAAGAAATTAGGTCTGAATTTCCATAGGAAATGCTGGGAAGTGGGCAGGATACAAGGGCAGATGGTTCATGAAACTTTGGAGGAGGCCTTTGCTCCAGCTGCTATAGACAGCATGGACCCTCAAATGCCTGTTACTAGCAAGCCAACCATACTCCTTGTCTTCCCAGGATTGCCATGAGAAAATCAGAGTGCTCTCCCATCAGGCAGCTGCTGTGGTCAAGCAGGAAGGGGGTGACAATGACCTCATAGAGCGTATCCAGGCTGATGCCTACTTCAGTCCCGTTCACTCCCAGTTGGACCATTTACTGGATCCTTCTTCTTTCACCGGTCGTGCATCCCAGCAGGTAAACATCAGAACACTTCTGTGGTGCTGCAGTCTTCCCCAAGTGCCCTCTTTGTACACTGCTGGGCTGCAGAGCCTGCAATATTATCTATTAATATAATGTTTCTGCTTCATGGGAGGTATGCTGAGAATGGGGCTAGTTAGAAAGAATTCAGAGTAGGTTGCTGGCTAAAATTTAAAGATTTGGTTGTTTTGAGCTGCCTTAAGTGTTTCTCCCAGTGGATTTCTCTGAATTCTCTTTTGGTCTGGAGCCGTGGTGTAATGGACAAAGATTGGGTTTTTACTGTCAGGTAGATTTGGGTTCAGTCTTGACTACCTACTTTTACTGGCTGGTAGGATAGAGATACATATCTCAGAGTGTGGACTGAAAGGCCTAGCTTGGTGCATAGTAACTATTCAGTAAATGTTTGTCACTTTTCCTCTTTGGCCTTTTGGAGACTATGGGTTAATTCAAAAACATTTATTGAGTACAGACTAGGTGCTCAGATTGTGTTTGGCTGCTGTGTTTAATTCTGGTGCTTTAAAGATGAATAGATAATCCTTATCTTCAGGGAGCTCAAAACGTAATGGTGAAGGCTTAGAATACCAAGCTGTACGTGCAAGAATTGAGGGAAGCACATCTTTTTGGGGATCACAAAGGAGACAGCCCTAGATTAGAAGAAGTTAGGAAAGACTTCTTGGAAGACATGACATCTGAGCTGAATCTTAAGGACAGGTAGGAGTTACTTGTAGGGAACACCAGGGTGAGAGGAGATGGCAAATGCATGGACGTCCAGCATAAGAGAGAGTTGCCAGATTATCAGGTGCCCTGGAAGCAGTTAGGATTTAAAGTAGAAGACAGACGGGAGCTTATCATTTATATTCAAGTCACTCTGGTGTATTGGATTTGAAGGACTTACACTGGAGGTCGGGAGACCAATAAGGTGGCTGCTACAGTGGGTAAGCAGTCGGTGACGAGGGCTTTGAGCCAAGGCCAGGGTGCGTGCACACGGGGCGCAGATTCGAGGGCTGTTTAAGATGTTAGTCACTTGGAAGCTGGTTGAATGGGGAGGAGGGAAGAAGCAGTGCTGATTTCAGCTTGGGTAACGGGTGGAGAATGGTGAGACCAACTGAAAGGACACAGCCAGGCTGGTTTGTGGGGAGGGGCAGCCTGGCGGGCCTGATGGGGTGAGCTGCCTGTGTCTAGGGAGAGATTTCTGACAGGCAGTTGAGAAAAATAGAAGCTCAGTGGTGGCATAAAAGTTTATCAAATAAGGTCTCAGTGTTATGAATTGACATTGAAAAAAGGATTCTCAAAACTCAACGTGTTCTTTTGTCTTGCATTTGCTTTCTTCTTTGGCAGGTACGGAGATTCTTAGAAGAGGAGGTGCATCCCCTGTTAAGACCATATGAAAGTGTAATGAAGGTGAAGGCAGAATTATGTCTGTAGAGTTGGAAGAGAATTAAACAAAAAACCGTTGTTGGCTTTGTTAACTTTTTTTGCCGAGTCATAAAAACTGTTACTCTAGTGCTTTATTTTATCTCAAGAATTGTTACCATAGGGACTTCCCTGGTGGTCCAGTGGTAGAGAATCCTCCTTACACTTCAGGGGACGCGGGTTCATTCCCTGGTCAGGGAACTAAGATCCCACATGCTGCAGGGGCACCTAAGCCCTCGAGCTCATGCGCCTCAACTAGAGCGCAAGTGCCACAAACTACAGAGCCCACGCGCCCTGGAGCCTGTGCGTCACAGCTGGAGAAGAGAAAACCCACACGCCACAACTAGAGGGAAGCCCATGCGCCGCAATGAAAAATCCTACATGCCTCGATGAGGATCCCGTGTGCCGCAACTTAGACCCAACACAGCCAAAAATAAATGAAATAAATAAATAAATATTAAAAAAAAAAAAAAGAGTTGTTACCGTAAATTAATACAGCACTTTTCTTTCCATGGTGCTTTCACATTTCTCAAGTTTGCAATGCAGAAATAAATTGCATTGTGGTTGGACTCTCTTTTTCACGGCAACACAAATTTTCGTAGTAAATGTAGCTTATAGTTTGCACTCTGCTCTTTCAAGGCATATTTTCCAGCTAGTCTAGTCCTTTTTACACGTTCCCTTGATTGCAATTGCAAGATGGCGAACAAATTCCTGGTCCTCTCTTCTGAAAGTGAATTTGATCTAGGCCTAGCAAAATAATCTGGATTCAGTGATTCGTTATAGCTGGATACCTGCATTTCAATTGTATCTGATGAGAATAAGTAATGAAATTTAGAGCTATGGTAGATTCTCAGAGGAAGCTGATGTGATCATCAGGCTTAGCTGAAGTTGTGCCCAACTTCACTTGATCTTTGGTTAAGGCTTGTATATCAAGGACATGCTAACTGGCCATACTGATCTCATCAAGGCATTTGACAGTCTCTGGTCCTGATAGCTGGTTGAACCAGCTGCAGCCAAAGGTGAGAGAGTGATCATCCACCTGGAAGGAGAGCAGTAGTGTTATGACATAGGCTTCTATCCTTAGCCCTGCCTCATTCTGCATGTTTATTCAGCATAGATGAAAAGGAAGAAAGCTTATTTCTCAGATTTGCAGATGACACAGAACTAGGACAATTAACCAATACGTTTACTTGGTAAGATAGCTTAAGATCTCACTTAACCAAAATAGATTGAAACGATGTGGCCAAAATGAAGATAAAATTAAGGTAAATGTAAATAAGTTAAATTCAGTATGAGCCAGAAGTAGTTGCCAGTGAGGTAAGACAGTTTTAGGTTGTGTTAATGGTAGTGTAGCGTCCGGAAAAGGCACGCTGTTCCAGACCCGTGGCCTTATGTTCTATTTTGGACACCCAGTCTGAGGAACAGAGATAAACTGGAGAGCCAACCTCCAAGGAAGCCCTTGTCACATGAGGAGCCGTGGAGTGTTAGGGCTGCTGTCTTGTAAGAAAACTTGCCATTGCTTCAAATACCGTTGTGAGGAGGAAGAGTGACGCAGCTGAGACAGTCCATACCCATGGTTGAGAGTGAAGCAGAGGCATCAGAGCTGCTCTGAGTTGGTGCTTCTCCCCCCCGCACCTCCACCCTCGGGTCACCTAGTGGTCAGGAGTGGGAGTGTCGTGAGGGAGAAGAGGCAGAATCGGCCCCAGTTGTATCAAGTCAAAGGCAGCCCGAGTGAAGAACTCAACCTGTGGGGAAGAATAGGAGGTGATCCTTAAAGACAAATTTTTTTTAAAAAAATTTTTTTATTTTTATTTTTTTTGCGGTACGCGGGCCTCTCACTGCTGGGGCCTCTCCCGTTGCGGAGCACTGGCTCCGCACGCACAGGCCCAGCGGCCACGGCTCACGGGCCCAGACGCCCCGCGCATGCAGGACCCTCCCGGACCGCGGCACGAACCCGCGTCCCCCGCATTGGCAGGCGGACCCCCCAACCACTGCGCCACCAGAGAAGCCCCAAAGCCAAATTCTAAGTGCAGTTCAGGGTGGCAAGCAGGCATGGACCGCCCGGAGCCACGTGATATTTCAATTCTTCCAGGAACAGTTCGATTACTCTGTTAGTCCTCTCTTGTGAGCATCTGGAAGGGATGTTTGAAACTACTAGGCCTCGCACAAGGAATTAATCACTGGGCGCTGTTCAGACACCCTGTCTACTTCCTTCTCTAGTACAGGCCTCTGGAGAGGAAGCAGCTACTATCAGTGCATCGTAATCTGAGAGCTTCTGTAACATACCAGACACACTGGGGATACCGGATACCGTGGATTTTAGTTAATAAATTTCCTCATAGAAAATAGATGACAGTCTTGTTCTGACAGTTCTGATCTCTAGTGATTGGTGGTTTGGCTGGTTTTTCTTCCTAGCCTATTTGAGTGGGTGGGTTTGTGTGTCTTCTTTCCTCTTCCATTCTCTTGGTTTTATAATTATATACTTGTGATATACTCTTTTTTTGTAATATCTTTATTGGAGTATAATTGCTTTACAATGTTGTGTTAGTTTCTGCTGTGTAACAAAGTGAATAAGCTATATGCATACGTATATCCCCCTATCCCCTCCCTCTTGCGTCTCTCACCCCTCTAGGTGGTCACAAAGCATCAAGCTGATCTCCCTGTGCTATGCAGCTGCTTCCCACCAGCTACCTATTTTACATTTGGTAGTGTATATATGTCAATGTTACTCTCTCACTTCGTCCCAGCTTGCCCTTCCCCCTCCCCGTTTCCTCAAGTCCATTCTCTACATCTGCATCTTTATTCCTGTCCTGCCCCTAGGTTCATCAGAACCTTTTTTTTTTTTTTTTTTTGCCGTTCGCGGGCCTCTCACTGTTGTGGCCTCTCCCGTTGCGGAGCACAGGCTCCGGACACGCAGGCTTAGCGGCCATGGCTCACGGGCCTAGCCGCTCCACGGCATGTGGGATCTTCCCGGACCGGGGCACGAATCCGTGTCCCCCGCATCGGCAGGCAGACTCTCAACCACTGCGCCACCAGGGAAGCCCAGAACCATTTTTCTTTTAAGATTCCATACGTATGTGTTAGCATATGGTATTTGTTTTTCTCTTTCTGACTCACTTCACTCTGTAGGACAGACTCTAGGTCCATCCACCTCACTACAGATAACTCAATTCAGTTTCTTTTTATGGCTGAGTAATATTCCATTGTATATATGTGCCACATCTTCTTTATCCATTCATCTGTCTATGGACACTTAGGTTGCTTCCATGTCCTGGCTATTGTAAATAGTGCTGCAGTGAACATTGTGGTACATGTCTCTTTTTGAATTATGGTTTTCTCAGGGTATATGCCCAGTAGTGGGATTGCTGGGTCGTATGGTAGTTCCATTTTTAGTTTTTTAAGGAACCTCCATACTGTTCTTCTTAGTGGCTGTGTTGTGATATACTCTTAAGTACAATTTTGTTATTTTAACATTTTAATTAAAGGCATTTGGGTGGGCTTCAGGTTCCTGAGAAGAGAGAACACTCATGGCATCTCAAAGATTAGACTGAATTCAGTTAACCAATGATGCAAGCCCCAGGATCTGAACCATCCAGAAATCAGGGTCTTGGCAGACTGTGGGACCACTGTCTTCTGTTCAGCTGCAGCCAGACACCTGGGCACTTACTGCCCTCTTTCCCTGGCTGATGGTAGATTTCATACAATAACCAAGAGAGCCAGATATCCTTCAGTGGAAGCACAGAGGGTAGGTGTCTCCAGAACAGTATGTAAATCCAGGGTCTGACATGAAGAAAGTATTCAGAAAATGTCATTTTCCTTTCCGAGCTCAGGAGTGTTCGCCAACCTTCCTCTCTTCTTGCTGGTTAGTTGGGGAGCAGACTGAGACTTGAGGACATTGCTGTTGGTTTGGTCTGCCTACCATGGGTGAGTGCATCCTGAACTTGAACCAACCAGAGAATTGGGAATGAGTCAACATAAAAAATGAATAGTAAGGGCTTCCCTGGTGGCGCAGTGGTTGAGAGTCCGCCTGCCGATGCAGGGGACACGGGTTCGTGCCCCGGTCCGGGAAGATCCCACATGCCGCGGAGCGGCTGGGCCCGTGAGCCATGGCCGCTGGGCCTGTGCGTGCGGAGCCTGTGCTCCGCAACGGGAGAGGCCACAACAGTGAGAGGCCCACGTACCGCAAAAAAAAAAAAAAAAAAAAGAAAAGTAAAAAGTTAAAAAAAAAAAAAAAGGCTGGAAAGCTATATAGTGAAATAGTGTGGTTTCTTGGGTAATGAGTTTAAGGTGATTTTTTTTCTTCTAGTTTTATTGAGGTATAATTGACATACAGCACTGTGTAAATTTAAGGTGTACAGCATAATGATTTGACTTACATATATCATGAAATGATTACCACAGTAAGCTTAGTAAAGATATACAAAATTAAAGAAGTTTAATTTTTTAATTAAAAATTTTTTCCTTGTGATGCGAACTCTTAGGATTTACTCTCCTAACAATTTTCATATATAACATACAGCAGCATTCATTATGTTTATCACGTTGTACATTCCATCCCTAGTACTTCTTTATTCTGTAAGTGGAAGTTTGTACCTTTTGACTGCCTTCATCCAGTTCCCCTTGCCCCTACTCCCCACTTCTGGTAACCACAAATCTGATCTCTTTTTCTATGAGTTTGTTTGTTTTTGAAATATGATTGACCTACAACACTATGTTAGTTCCTGTTATACAACATAGTGATTTGGTATTTTTATGCATTTCAAAGTGATCACCATAAATCTAGTTATGATATATCACCATAAAAAGATATTACATATTTATTAACTATATTCCCCACACTGTACAGTTCATACCTGTGACTCACTTATTTTGCAACTGTGTACCACGTAACTTTCCTCACTTATTTCTTCCCTCTCCCCACCCCCTCCCCTCTGGCAAGCACCTGTTTGTTCTCTGTGATTCTGTTTCTATTGTTATGTTTTGTTCTTTTGTTTTTAGATTCCAAATATAAGTGAAACCGTACAGTATTTGTCTGTTGACTTATTTAACTTAGCGTAATGTCCTCTAGGTCCATCCATGTTGTTGGAGATGGCAAGATTTCATTCTGAGTAATATTCCATCATTTATACACCACATCATCTTTTTTTTTTTAATAGGGGTATAATTGTTTTACAATGTTGTGTTAGTTTCTACTGTACAGCAAAATGGAGTTCCCTGTGCTATACAGCAGGTTCTCATTAGTTATCTGTTTTATACATATTAGTGTATATATGTCAATCCCAGTCTCCCAATTCATCCCACCCCCTCCTTTCCCCCCTTGTATACCACATCATCTTTATCCATTCATCTATTGATGGGACAAGATACTGCTTCCATATCTTGGCTATTGTAAACACTGCTGCAATGAACATAGGGGTGCATATATCTTTTCTAATTAGGAGTGGAATTGCTGGATCATATGGTAGTTCTATTTTTAATTTTTGAGGAAACTCCATACTGTTTTCTATAATGGCTGCACCAATTAACATTCCCACTAACAGTGCACAAGGGTTACCTTTTCTCCACATCCTTGCCAATGCTCATTATTAATTCTTTTGCATGTAGCTATCCACGTTTCCTGACACCATTTATTGAAGAGGCTGTCTTTTCCCATTGTATATTCTTGCCTCCTTTGTCGTAGATTAATTGTCCATATAAGTGTGGGTTCATTTCTGGGCTCTCTATTCTGTTCCATTGACCTATGGTTCTGTTTTTGTGTCAGTAGTATACTGTTTTGATGACTGTAGCTTTGTAGTATAGTTTGAAATCAGGGCGTACACCTCCAGCTTAGTTCTTTCTCAAGATTGTTTTGGTTATTTGGGACCTTCTGTGTTTCCATACAAATTTTATAATTATTTGTTATAGTTCTGTGAAAAATGTCATTGATATTTTGATAAGGATTGCATTGAATGTGTTAATTCCCTTGGGTAGTTTGGTCATTTTAACAATATTAATTCTTCTAATCCATGAACACAGTTTATTGTTCCACCTGTTTGTGTTGTCTTCAGTTTCTTTCATCAGAGTCATAGTTTTGTGAGTACAGGTCTTTTACCTCCTTAATTAGATTTATTCCTAGGTGTTTTATATTTTCTTTTTGCTTCTGGGCATTTTTTAAAGTTCTAAATGCAATTTTTATTTAAATTTTAGAAAAGTTTTAGATTTACAGGAAAATTGCATATATAGTACAGAGAGTTTCCATATACACCATACTTGGTTGCCCTTATTATTAATATCTGATGTACCATTTCACAGTTAATGAACCAATTTGATACATTGTTAAATTGAGTCCTTAGTTTTTAGCTAATGACCTTTTTCTGTTCCAGGATTCCACCTGGAACAGGCGTTTTATTTATTTATTAATAAATTATTTTATTTTATTTATTTATTTTTGGCTGCATTGGGTCTTTGCTGCTGCACGTGGGCTTTCTCTAGTTGTGGCGAGCGGGGGTACTCTTGGTTGCAGTGTGCAGGCTTCTTGTTGTGGTGGCTTCTCTTGTTGCAGAGCATGGGCTCTAGGCACGTGGGCTTCAATGGTTATGGCGCGTGGGCTCAGTAGTTGTAGCTCATGGGCTCTTGAGCGCAGGCTCAGTAGTTGTGGCGCATGGGCTTAGTTGCTCTGCGGCATGTGGGATCTTCCCGGACCAGGGCTCGAACACGTATCGCCTGTGTTGGCAGGCAGGTTCTTAACCACTGTGCCACCAGGGAAGCCCAGACGTTATATTTAGTCATGATAACACTTTAAAAATACTGGAATTCATAATTCCCTGGCGGTCCAGTGGTGAGGACTTCGTGCTTTCACTGCCAAGGGTCCAGGTTCAATCCCTGGTTGGGGAACTAAAATCCCACAAGCCGTGCAACGTGGACACACACACGCAAAAAAAAAAGATGAAAAACACTGGAATTCACATATATTACTTATAAGGTATGTTCTTTATTAGAGATGTGGTCTGATGGACACAAACGTTAGCTCATGAATTCTGAACGTAACTAAATTCTGAACGTAACTAATTCTGAATGTAACTAAAAGTAAAAGCAGAATTTGGCTTTTCAATTCTGGATCTTGTGTGACCTTATCTTTACCTCATTAAGTGCTGTGTATTGTACAGACAGATTCTTAAAGGCCAAATTTCTGCCGCGGGAAATAGTTTAAGAGGTGAGTATGGGTGTTAATTTGTTTTCATGAAAAGTCCGAACTCAGGAAGAAACTGATTTGGGCTTCTGACCCAGATTTCAACTTGAGTACTTCAGAGGATGAGGTGATCTGTAAGTGACCACTTGGACAAAAGGTCAAATGAAAAAGAAATGAGTTTTTTGGTGGCACAAAACAGGAGGCCCTGGGCTTCCCTGGTGGCGCAGCGGTTGAGAGTCCACCTGCCGATGCGGGGGACACGGGTTCGTGCCCCGGTCCGGGAAGATCCCACATGCCGCGGAGCAGCTGGGCCCGTGAGCCATGGCCGCTGAGCCTGCGCGTCCGGAGCCTGTGCTCTGCAACGGGAGAGGCCACAACAGTGAGAGGCCCGCGTACCGCAAAAACAAAACAAAACGAAACAGGAGGCCCTCTTCTCATATAACAAGATCCTCTGGCCTTAGAAAAGCCATGTTAGATCTGCCCTTTCAGATTCTGACGCTTTATTTTGTACTGATATTTCATATTTGTGGTGGTATTGGGCCTTCCTTATCTATAGTGGGCCAGAAACTGTAGCTAGGTAACATCCCAGCCCAAGCTGGAGTGGAAGGAGGGGCTCCAACGGATACTTGGGAGCTACTGCAGACCACCCCCTTGTCCTCAATCCCCACAGGAGTTTCCTAGGAAATAACAAGCTCCTATCAAATAGTGATGTCAAGTGGCCACAGATGAGGTTGAGAGGGAGACTGGAGCCATGAATGCTTCGGGTCAAGTTTCCATCCACAAATGATGGAGCCTTCCACTGATATGGCTCTAGGGCACTGAGAAGTTTAAAACTATGGGACAGTGTTACACCTCTGCCATGGCTTTATAAAGTTGTAACTAGGATAGTGCTAGTTGTGAGAGTACAGGCCAAGGACAGTTGACCCTTGAACAACGTGGGGGTTAGAGGCACTGACTTCTGTGTGGTTGAAAATCCACATATAACTTTAGAGTTGACCCTCTGTATCTGCAGTTCTTCAACCACTATTAGTTCCCATTATTGATATTTTGGCCAAGTTCTCTGCAAAATTCTAATGATAAAATTTGCCCTGCTTTTGCCACAGGAGTGTTTGTGAATAACGTGAAAGTGCTTTGTAAAGTGAGCGTAATACAATGAGGTCATGATTGAGAATGCCTTAGTGTGTTTTGTAGGCTTCACCTGTGGTTCCCATTAATTCACTGCATCATCCCCACCTTGGAACACCCTTAGGAACCTGAGCTCAGGTTAATAAGCAGCTCTAAAATGAAATTGTGGTATATCTCTTCAGAGTTGGGTGAAGTTTCTAGAAAAATATTCCTGTAATCCTGTTATAGCTTTTGGTGACCTTTCTAAAACATGGCAAGTGCTTTTTTTTTTAAAAACTAGAGCCTGATGTCCACTGGGACCTGGATATCAAATGGAGACGGGCGCTGCTGCCGTCGTGGACTGTTCATTCGTACTGCACTTCAACATTTTCTCAGACAGCATCCAGTTCTCACAACCACCACAAGTTCACATTCTTATTTTATGGGTGAGCCAAATGTTAGCATGGTTGATAGACTCAAATGCAGGCCTCTGACTACACCCTCTCATTGCATTATGCCTGAAGATTGAATTTCTTGGGTAGGACTTCAACCAATTTGTTACTAGTTGCGGCTCCTTCCAAGACTTGTGAATTGTGTAAGAGTGGATCAGGCTGGCCTAGGACTGGTTTGTACACCCGTAAAGAAGGCACTTAAATGTTTAGAAAATGAATATCAGGTAAGCCGCTCCTTCCCAGAGCCCTGCCGCGTCTATCCCCCATCCTGACCACTGGTACACCCCATATTCCCCTAACTCCTAGGGCTGCAGCGCAGACGGGAGGCCAGGTGGGCATCGCTAGGCCAAAATTGGGCTTCGAAGGTCGCCTCTCCACCTCCACCCCCAGTACCGGAGGACGCGGCCTAGTCTCCGAAAGGAGGCTGGTGTGCGGGGCCCAGAAGCGCGCAGACCCCACCGCCGCTCCCAGCCAACGGACCCGAAAGACTACAGCCCCCAGCATGCCCCGCGGCCGCCCGCTCGGCCCGGCGCGCGTGCGCGGTGGCGCCGCCGAGCGCCGACAGGGGCCGAGCCTGGAGCCTGACAAGCGTTGGCACAGTGGTGGCGGAGGCCCGCGGCTGCGGGGTAGCTGGACGTACCCCGCGGGGCAGGTGAGTACGGAGCGAGAGGTTGGCCGAGACTCGCTGGGTCTGCGGGGCCCGGCGCCCACCCATGCCCCTCCGGTGGGGACACTAGGGGCTGTGGACCGACCCACTGACCCACGGACTGACGGGCCGAGGGGCAAGGCGGCGCCGTCGCCGGCCGGCCCTCGCTCGTGCGGCGCGCGGGGCTGGGGTCCCGGCTAGGCCCGGGCTCTCGAGGTCGGGCGCGAGGCCTGAGGGGCGCGGGCGGTGATCGGGGCGGGGGTTGGCCTCCCGGGGAGGGACCCCCCCAGCCGGCCCAGCGGGAATGGGGGGCTCCCGGCGCCTGAGCTGTAGTGCCTTGGGGGCTCGAGCCCGATAACGGCCCCCTCCTGCGGCTGGGAGCAATTTACAGAAGCCGCACCTCAGGCCGGCGACCTTTTTTGTATTTTGGGTTTTTTTGATAAAACGGCTGCTTCGAATACGTTTACAGCAGCAGAGTCCTCTTCAGGTGTGACTTGTAACTTTACCTTAAAGATTCAAGTCTGGGGTCAGAACACAGGCTCAGACTCTGGCCAGACTCTGAACACACTGTAGTATGGGGTTTTAACGCTGGAGAAATTGAGGCATGTACTATCCAGGACTCAGCCAGTGTGGTTAGGATTGGAATTTTGAAAATTATTCTCATACATTGTTTAATGATAGATCCAAGATGCTTTTTATATGGGGCGGGGGGGAGAGGTGATTTAAAGTCTCTTTTTGGTGACGAATGACTGTATCGTATTTTCCAGTCTTGTGCTGCATATGCGATTTGTGGGGGGTTGGTGGCCCTTTTTTGCTTGCACTTTGGTGGGATATTTAGAGGTGTCTGGAATATTCTTTACCCTTCTTTCTTTTTCTTTCTTGGTAAATTCAAGTTCCTAATCAGACTCTGTTTCACAAAAAGTGAATTTTCAACTTCGACATACATTTCCTCCTCATCTCTTTTCCGTATCTTCCAGTTCTCTCTGAACTCTAAACGATGGAGTTATATCTTCTTTGTTTTACATATTTATTTCTGTTCTCCATAATTAGCTGGTAATTGATTCTAAATAATAGTCAACATCTTTCCTGTCTTTTAATAATCCCAGGTGCCTGTAGCCTTTTCATCACTAATTGTTACATTAGCCTGGGCTTTAGCCCTCTTCTATCCCTTTTTAAGCATGGATGTGTGTAATCTGGGAGAGAGGGCCGGGGTGAGGTGTTTCTCTTGACCAGATACAGGTAACAGGTGAACACGACCCATGGCATCAACTTTAGAAGGCTGTGAACAAAAATTGTTGAATATTAATCTTGTGAATTTGGGAACTTGTCAGGTTGACAGAAGAGTCGGTGAGGTACCTCACAGAAATGAACCTGACGTCAGGGTAAAATATTGAGAAAGGACCTCAGGAATCATCTCTTTTATCATACCGCCATCTTTCAGTGCCCAGAGTGGATGCTGGGGACACCTTGTTGGCTTAGAAACTTAAACAAGGTTCTGTGTGTTTGTGTTTTTGGTTTCTCTCTTCCTAGTTCTCAATGAACGCTTTGGCAGGAGCTCAAAATCTGGTACATTTGATAATTTAACATCAGTTTCATCTGCTTATTCTCCAGATTGTCTCTCTTCCTCAGCTGGTGACATCAGTAATTTTCCACAGCAGCCATTCATGAGCTCATGCAGACTGTCACAAGGAAGTGGAATAGCACAGAGGGTGGCACATACAGGAGAAATAAGGATCTTGTTTCTTTGCCGTCACATATTACACAAGGAGTGAGACAGGAAATCTGGACTGAAGCACAAACTATGCGGGAGGGGTTAGCACACCAGAGTCCAGGCTTCCACATACGGTAATAATCATTGGTACCACTTACTGAATCTCTTCTCTTTGCCAAGTGCTGTAATCGTCACAGTGAAGTGCAGGTTTATCATTGTCATTTTATATGTGTGTAAGTTGAAGTACAGAGGTTAAGTGATTTGTCCACAGACATAGTGACAGGGCCAGAATGCAAATTCAGGTCTCTGATTCTGACATCCCCGCTCTTCCTACTGCACTGTACTACCCTACCAACATATATGTTCAAGTCTTTCTCATTCTCAAAGAAAAAAAACAAAAAACCCCACCTTTCCTGTGGCCACCTTTCTTCTTCAAACTACTGTCACTTCCCATCTGTTTCCTTTCTAGATTTGTCCTTAAAAAGCAAACTCTATGCCCTTCTCTTCCGTTTACTCCTTATTTCATTGCAGTCTGGCCCCCACCCCTCGACTCTATTGAAATTTTTCTCATGAACTCCACTCAGCCATTGATTGAATACCTACCTTAGGTACCATCTTCTAGACTTACAAAGAGGCTGAGATATGGTTCTTGCCCTGAGGGAGTTTAGGAGCTAATGAGGGAGAAAAAGAATTTCATACATGTCACTGTATGTTAACTCCTGACGAGCAGTCTTTGCTCTTGGGAGTGGGGGAGGAAGACTTCACTGAGAAGGTGATAGTGGACTGCCAACAGAGAGAAACCCTAAGTTGTTCCAGACAGTGGTGTCAGGACTGCATGCTTAGGTGTGGACTTTTAGAAGTTGTTAGAAGTTGTATCTCGCCAGTGAGAGATGGTACAGTTGAAATATACAGTGTAGGCTTTAGAGTCTGCCAGACCTGGGACCTGAGCCTTAATTTCTTCTTCATAATACGTGCCTACAGTGTCAGCTCTGTGAAAGTAGGGCCTTTGTCTTTTTCACCACCCCACTCCTCTCTCCTAGAACACTGGTCAGTAGATGTTTGTGGAGTGAATACCTCACAGGATGTTGTTCAGCTCGCGGGAGGTGCTAGATTCCCAGCAGCACCATGTGACTGAAGTAACGACGCTGACGTTCAGTGTGGTTTATGAACTGATTTTGAAGACACCATTGTTTGAAATAGTATACATATATAATCACCTCCCCTTTTTGAACATTTAGGCTTGTTAATTTATGCTCACAATTCATAAATGAGGAGAGAGACGTTCACCTCTTTTCTGTAGGCACAGTTAACTGCTGTGTTTTCACTTCCAATATTATGCCTCTTTTTCAGTTATAAACACATCTCTGCTTTTTCTAAGTGTTTGTGATGTAGGTTTTGTATGTATTTTTTTTCTCTGCTAATGTTCTGGATTGTTTGGGGAAGTTAGTTTCTTTGGACTCATTAAATACCTTTATCAGTAAGAGTAACGTGAGAAATGAGATTGAAAGCACCAGTCCAGTCATCAGAAGGCTTATTCTTGGGAAGGGCCTGATTTCCAATTAGGGCTAATAGATTTTTTTTTTTTTCCTTAACAAAACCATACAACTATTCCTGGTCTTCCTAGATACCTAGTTAGCCTTCTAGCTAACATTCTAAATGCATGAAACAACAGATCATTTCCCTCTTCATGTGTTTGAGTTTCATTTGTAAATATCATTAATTTGTGTGACTTGAGGTTATAGGATTAAAGTCCAAGTACCACTTTTTTGTTTTGTTTTTGCTTTTGAAGTCAGTGGGATATAGTAATTAGCACCTACAATAAAGGAAGGAGGAGAAGGAAATAATCATTTGCATTTAAAAAGGATTTCTGTGCTGGGTAGAGAGTAGAATCTGCAGAATCAGAAATTCTGAGGGGTGGACCCCAGCTGTCTGGGTTTTAAGAGCTGTCTGTTTTTGTGTATTTCTAATTTATTTACTTATTTTTGGCTGCATTGGGTCTTTGTTGCTGTGCGCGGGCTTTCTCTAGTTGCGGTGAGAGGGGGCTACTCTTCGTTGCGGTGCACGGGCTTCTCATTGCAGTGGCTTCTCTTGTTGCGGAGCATGGGCTCTAGGCACGCGGGCTCAGTAGTTGTGGCTCGTGGGCTCTAGAGCACAGGCTCAGTAGTTGTGGTGCACGGGCTTAGTTGCTCCGCGGCCTGTGGGATCTTCCCAGACCAGGGCTCGAACCCAGTCCCTTGCATTGGCAGGCAGATTCTTAACCACTGCGCCACCAGGGAAGCCCTGTCTGGGTTTTAAAGAAGCCCTCCAGGTGATTCTGATACACTCTGCAGTTTGAGGACCACTGATGGAGTTTAAGAGAGAGGGAACAATATTGTAAAGTCAGGGAACTAAACTCCATGGTATTGCTGAAGTGTAGCTTGTATTTTTTAAAAGTCGTTATTTTATATGCCTAAATAAAGAAATAAGATAAGCTAATAAAACGTACATTACATAATCAGTCTAAATCACTTACCTTGGAATGTCAATAAAATGGACATAAGTCCTATATCCCACATTATGTGAGAAGGCCAACACCCTCCCCCAGGTTTTTCAAATTTAACTTCTTTAATTCTCATAACAACGTGTAAGGTAGGAATTATTATCCCTATTTTCAGACCTTTCTTTGATTTTCCCCTCAAACCACAGTCAAGGCTATTATGAGTCCAGCAGGCTTTCTTGAAGGTATGGATGCCAAAGGGGTATTACCTTGCAACAGCACACTAACTTAAATTGGGGTTTGGATTGTTCTTTGCTTAAGAGGCATTTGGTCCACCCCTAAGGCCTCCCCACTCCCAGGCACGCAGCATGTCACTGTCTCATGGGTGGCTCTGTCCTGAAGGATGCAGCTCCCTACCCATCTCTGGACTGCTGTTCCCTTCCCCTCTGTAGTCCAGGCCACCCCTACCTCCAAATTTCCATTAATTTCCTTTGCTAGACAATCGATAGATCTCTCCTTTTCTAATCCATGGCTTCAAGGTTTACCTTCCACCTTTAAGGAGCTTATCAAAATATTTTCCCAAAGATAAACCTCCTCTCTGGGAAGCATTCTGGAGCCAACTTTATTTTTTTTAAATAAATTTATTTATTTATTTTTGGCTGCGTTGGGTCTTCGTTGCTGCACGCGGGCTTTCTCGAGTTGCGGCGAGCGGAGGCTACTCTTCGTTGTGGTGTGCGGGCTTCTCATTGCGGTGGCTTCTCTTGTTGCCTAGAGCACGGGCTCTAGGCACACGGGCTTCAGTAGTTGTGGCACGCGGGC